CAGACTATCTGAGATTTTATGTGTTACCCTGGAGTTGGCCCTACCCTCCCGAGGTCTTCTAGAACCCAGCACTGGTCCAATTCACAGATTCGAACTATGCCACTTAGCCCAGGAAGGTCAATCCCAGGCATCTTTGTGGAGGCAGCCACCAGCAAAAACGTAATAGCTTTGATGGAACAATTGGGGTTTTTTTTCATTCTTAAAATATATTCTTAGTAGACTGGTATGATTAATATTTCAGGGCCAAGTCTTAGTAGCTCTAGTTGAGGCTGGCTGTGCTTGAGGGCCCAGAGCTCCTCACACCTCACCCCACCCCACCTTCCCTATCCTCCCCCTTCTTAGTTCCCCTTCTTCACATACAAATAAGTTGGTAGTTGGCAATTCCTGCTGCCAGCATGTATGCCCAGTCAGCAGCAAAGCAGTGCTCACTGGTTTCTTTAAATGTAATGTTTACCAGGAACATGGCGATAGTTGGAAGGACCTTGGAAACTACTCATTGAACAAATTTTATTGAGTACATACTATGTGCCAGACACTGTTCTAAGCCTTAGAGACAGAACAGAAGACAGAAAAAGATTCCCACCCTCCTAAAGCTTATAATCGAGGAGGGAGACAGACAATAAATACATGAAACTTATGTCAAACGATAAGAGAAGGGATATGAAGAGTGCTACAGTGGAGGTGGAGGGTTAACGTTTTAAATAGGAGGGTTAGAGAAGGCCTCACTTAGAAGGTGAGCAAAGAGCTGGAGGACATAAGGGAGTGAGGAATGTGGCTAACTATGGGAAGAGCATTCCATGCAGAGGGAACAGCAAATGCAACGGATCTGAGGCAGGAGCATGCCTGGCCTGTTCAAAGAATAGCAGTGAAGCTAGTGTGACTGGAAAGGAGAGTGGCGGGAGAAGAGGTGAAAGAGGGCATGGAAGACTGGATGGTATAGTCTAACGGAAAGTTCTTGAAAGGTTTTCAGCAGTGGAATGACATGATCTGACTTACGTAATAAAGTGATTACTCTGGTAGCTGCCTTGCGAATAGCCTGTGGGGATAGAGATAGAAGCAAGGAGACCAGTTGGGAGATATTGCAATCATCTAGAGGGGTGATAGAGCTTAGGTATTAAGAGCAGAGTCTCTGGGGCCAGGCTACCCGGGTTCAAATCCCAGCTATGCCACCTACTAGCTGCATGACCTTGGGCAAACTACATAATCTCTCTGTCTCAGTTTCCTCATCTGTAGAATGGGAATACTAAGTGTACCTACCTCAGAGAGTTTTTGTAAGGATTAAATGAGTTAATAAATGTGAAACACTTAGAACATAGAGTTGTTATGAGGATTGAATGAGTTAAAACACTTGTAACAGCACACTGAGCAAATGCTGCTTCTGTATTTGATGTTATTGTTATCATTATTATCTTCTGAGTGAGAGGTGATGGTGGGTGGGGCCAGAGGGTCCTAGTGGAGAAAACATGGTCCTATGTGGGGAATGTTTTGAAGGCAGAGCCGACAGGATTTGCTGACAGATTGGATGTGTGGAATGCAGAGGGAGTGTGCTAATCCCCCACCTTCAGATGAGGGATGAGGAAACAGAGCACAGCTGAGGCCATCATTGTTACAGGCCGTTTTTAAAGAGTCCTTGTTGCTAAACAGTTTAACGTTAACAGAAATCAACATTAAAGGACAAGTTCACTCATAGTCCAACATAAAAATTCCTATGTAATATACTATTTTAATTTTTATCTAGTCCCTTCAATCCTTATCTTTATGCATGCATGATTCTTAAATAATTATGATAATTGTATTAACATAATTTTATATTCAAAAAAAGAGAAGTATGCAATACTTCACGACTCTAGCAAGTGTTCGTTGGTCAAACATTAAGGAAATTCACGTGCTCAACACCATTTATACTCCAGGATATATATAGGGCACAGAATTCCCATTTTTAAGATGAAAGAACATACAACCCTGAATTAGCTGCTAAAATAGAGCTGTGGGAGGCAGAGAGTCATTTATTCATTTATTCACTCAATAAAATTTTATTAAGTGAACCTATATACAGGCACCTAGATAAGTAGATTGATAAGTAAATCACACTCCTTATCTTTAGGAGATCAGTCTTGTGGAGACAGACCACATGGCTATAATTGGTTTTTCTATCTAAGAGCTATACTGGAGGTATGTATGTACAAGTTACCTTGGAAGCACCATGGAGGATACGCTTAATTCTGCTTATGGAGGTAGGGAGGCTTCCAAAGAGAGATGACTCCTGGGCACCATAGAATTTTGATAGGGCACAGAAGAGACTGCTTTCAGTTGGCTCTTACCACACTGACCACTGACTTGTACTGTTGATGCTGATTGTTCTGGCTGCCTCTCGCACTAGACTATGTGTACATCTCTGATCCCCAGCACTATTCAGATGCCTGACACTGGGTAGCTGCTCTTTTAATGTTTGTTGAAAAAAATGCAGCATATCCTTAAAAAGTGACCTGAACAGTGACAAATGAAGAAATATCACAAGTACACTAGCTTTATGTCTTTTTGTGAGGGGCAGGGGGTCCAAAAATAAGGTTCTTTCTGATTTCCAGAAGGACCATGTTTCTCATCTAAAGTCTTGCTAATGGATGGTCAGGAGACAGAAGCCACTCTTGATATTCCAAGTAGGAAGGGTTTAATAAAGGGAACTAGAGACTTAGGGAAACACTGGATAAGCTGGAGGGGTGAAGGTTAGGGAAGCCACTGTTAGAGGTTACAAAATCAAAGCGTGCTGGGATCTCAGAGAAGCCACTTTCAGTCTCAGCTGCTTGCACCACCAAAGCAGGTGACTTGCAGAAGCTTGCCAGGAAATCGATGCAAACCTTGGTTCTGCCATCTGCCTATATATTTGCCCCTAATTTCCACCAGAGAAAAATGACTTCTCTTCTGCCTTAAATCGCTCATTAGTGCTTCTCATTGGCAGCATATAACCCAGAACCATATAGAAGAAAGATCCTCAGAAATGTAGTTCCAGACTTGTCTCCTGCAATGCAGAGGAGATTTTAGGAGAGGACAATGATTATGCTGAATTGACAAGACAGCTCAGCACAGATGGCTTCCCCAACTCTCATCTTTGAGAAGGGAGATTTACACAGCTCTGGTAACATCAAGTTTTACTTTCCCTACCTCTAGGAAGCTGTCATGTTCAGTCCAAATATTTTCCTGCTGGAAGATACTTATAACTATTATATAACTGTATATACTTTTAACATTTCCATACAACCAAATCATGAGAATTCTGCTGTTTAGTAAGCAGACTCAGGCAGTGTCAGGTGACAGAGAGAACTCCAGTTTTGGAGGCAGACATACTGAGTGCTAATCTCAGCCGTTCTGTTTATCAGCTGTGTGAACTTATACACAGCTTTAACTCTTCTGAAAAAAAAGTGGCGATTATAAAATAATCAGGGCAATATATAAAAATACATATAAAAGAACGTTCATAACAGTATTTTTAAGTAGAGAATTCACTAAATAAATTATGATATCTCCATATTAAAGAATATCATGCATCCACTTAAAATTATCTTGTAGAATAGTGTTGACATGGAATGTTCATGATATGGTGAGAAGTGAGAAAAGCCAGTTACACAACAGTATGAACAGTGTGATTCCATTTTTGTAAAAACAACTATGCAACTGAAAGGCTTTTCACCAAAATTTTAACAGTCATTATCTCTGAGGGTAGTTGGGATTACAGCTGAGTTTTTTTAATATGTGTATGAGGTTCTCAGATTTTCTGCATTGAGTATGTATTACTTTTGTAAGTTTAAAAAAATTATATAAAAATAAAAAGTAGGATTCAGTAGGATTGAAAGAATTAGACAAAATATGCAAAGTTCCCGATACACTTTCAGTAAATGATAGATCCCTCCCCCATTCACTTAAACATGATTTTATTTTATATTTTGAATAAATAATAGTCACATTCAAACTTTTCAAGATATGAAAGTGAAAATTCTCCCTCCTACCTCAGTCCTCCAGCCACTCACTTCCTTTCCTAGGGGCAACCAATGTTGCTGGTTTCTTCATATCCTTTAGAGAAAATGTATGCATGTATAAGCAAGGATGTAAAGTTATGCTTCTTTTCCCTCCTTTTTTACATGAGTGGTAGTATATTTTACTGCCTTTATGCCCCTTGGCATTTAATTTTATACTCCTTTTATTGGTGATCTTCCCATATCAGTAAATGCAGGCACTACAATAATGTGTAGCTGTGCCATCATTTATTTAATCGGTGCCCTGTTGATGGAGATTAAACCCAGTGATATCTTCTGACGGTCGCCCCAGATACAAGGATGGCCAGCACTTTAGGAATGACCTCTCTGTCCCTGGTCTCTTCTGGGCTTGCAATCATCACCCTCTTCATATACTCCAGTCGTATCTTAGCCCCAGCTTCTGAGGCTGAGGGGCTCCAAGAGACCCTGTACTGGTTACAGTCATTTTACCTATTTCATTTTTGGCAGTGACTGGGTCTGGCATGGTTCTGAAGATATTCTTGTCTAGGATCTAAGAGCTGATGAGCCATGTGCCACGTCTTATCTGCTCCCTCTGTGAGGCTCTCTTTCTGTACCACTGTTTACTTCTGCTCTGTCTCCCACCCTCAGTCTTCCCTCTGGAGAAGTCAGTGGCCCACTCGTATTTCCCTCATCCTCTTTACCATCTTGGAGGACCTAGAAATAGGACTGTAGTGTTGTCACCTAACCTCAAGCCCAGGTGACAAATGGAGTGTAGTGACTGTGAGGAGCCAGGCCAGGGGTGCCGTGGTGACATGAGGGGGTGATAGCTGGATCTGCTGGGCCCTGCCAGATGACTAGGAATGTGGAGGTACTGAGTGAAATGAGGAGAACTTAGCCTATGGTAAGTCCTCTGGATGAGAATCTCTTTGGTGGTGGTTTGGGGGAGGTAGTTAGAATCTAAGCCAATAAGGATCGCCTAATCCTCTCCTTACATGAAGCCTATAAAGAGACAATCCTTTGGGTCATTGGTTAGTTTCTTAATTAAATTGATATTGATTGAATACCTGTTACATGCAAAGCACTCTATTAGATGGTTCTGCAGTCTCTATTTTATCGTTTTACACATTGTGGTTTTGCCTCTTTTACTGGGGTCACTAAATCATGCAGTCCCTTTCATTGCTGTTGCCCCAAACTTTTGTGGTCTTTCAAGACCTGCAAGTTTTTTTCTGGGGCTCAGCCTGTAAACCCGAGTGCAAGTCCTTGAAAGTCACAGTTTAAATCAGGGCAGTCACAGAAGTAAACATCTGATTGGGATGGCACATAGAACTTGCTTAATCAATGTTGTCTAAACTGAGCTGATCAGGGTCAGTGAAAGCCCTTCTGTAGAACTGCTGAGGGTACCACGTGCCCTCACTCACTGGAGATAATGGCCTTGGGAATAATTATCAGCCTAATTTCTTTTTACATCAATGTAGATTTGATGTCCAGTAATGTATGTGTTGTACCTTTAATGGCCTTTTAATGATGAAAAAGATCAAAAGCATTTTAGATCTGAACCTGCACCATTAGTTTCCATTCCAGAAATCCACTGTAATTACCACAGCTGCTTCTCCAAGCCCTGCAGGAGCATTGAGTTCCTATGACATATCTGCACAGTTAATCACAATCAGCACCCAGCCAGGTCTGATGTAGGTTCCAGGGGGATGGTTACTGAAGGTGGAGAAGGCCAGGGCGGGGTAGGGGAGGGAGTGACAATGGCAAGGAGTGAAGGACTGAGTCGTTCAAGGCCTGGAGTGTCAGCATCTCTCAGAACAGGAGTTCTCTTAGCCCTGGTCCTTTCCAATCTCCTCACAGAGAGTTTGAGATTTAGAGAGTGAAATATGAGTTGTTATAAAACTCTGAATTGGGTTCTACAAGTCATATTGGAAGAAACTAAGGGTTCCTTGTAACTGCATTCTCACCCATCCTATTTGTGAAGGTTTGGCAGGGGCAGGGGAGCGTGTGGGGCACGTGATGCACGGTGCCCAGCTGGGGTAAATGAATCTGGATAGGCAGAATTTGGGGGAGGGAGCACACAGGGAAGGATATAAGGGAAAGGTACTTCCCAGGGAAGGGAGATGTTGAGATGGAATGGTTTGTGTGCTGTTTATTCTTTTGAATCCTTATCCCCAAGATCCATTGTCTGCTGTTCTCTGTGCCCTGGGAGGCTGACCACTGTGAATGGCATCACTCAGGCTCTCTAGCCCTCTGGCTTCCAATTGGCTTTGGCCATAGAGAGGCGTTGGCGGAAGACCTGAGGGTAGAAGGAGAGAGGGGTCAGGGTATTTTTCCTCCATTCCCTTCCTGCTTTGCTGTCGCAGTTCTGGCAGTGGTTGCACCCCTCCACAACTATAACTTCTGCAGGAAGCCCTTCTTCCATGGCTCTAGCTCTTACTCGGCTCTGGTAACATATTTTCCTCTTCTTACCCTTTAACTAGGGGTGGTATAAGCTTCCTGTTTCTGCTAGTCCCCAGATGCCTCAAAATCCCTTATAGATTCCTTTACCCCATTCACAACTCTGTAAATAGTACCTTCGTTAAATTCAAAATCCCAGCTAGGTGTGCGATCTGTTTCCTGCGAGAACCCTGATTGATACAATGGGTATGTCAGAGACTGACTAATGTTTGCCAATCCTATTTTCTTTTCCTGGACACACAGGAAGACTAAATTTTCCGTTCTCCCTTGCATTTAGGTTGAGGCTGGGTTCTGACCAATGGGATGATCTATGACACTTCCTAGCCTGGCCATAAACCCCTTGTGCAATTGTCCCCACCCTCTTCCTCTTCCAAGGTAACATTGGAAGTTATATGTTTAAAGTTACAGTGTCTCAAGCTGGAAGAAGTTTGGATCCCTGAGTCACTGCTTGGAGGAGAATTGCCCAACTGTATTCTCCTATGATATGAGTGAGAAATAAGCCTTTATTGTGTTGTGCCGCCGGGATCTTGAGAGTGGTTTGTTACTGCAATTAGGGTTAATTACCTTGACTAATTCAGTGGAGGTGTTAAATGAAGAGGGCACCTAGAGCAATGGAGTATTCAAGGCATAAATATAAGGAAGCATAGAATTTTCTAACTTAGGTGAGACCACAATGAGGGTTAACAAAGAGTGTAACATTATTGCTTTGTGAAAAGAACAGGGATTCAGATTTCAGAGTTGAGTTTAAATCCAGGCTTTGCCACTTCTAGCTATGTAATCTTGGACAAGTTACTTCACCTTTTTAAGTTTTCTTATCTGTAAAATGGGGAAAATAATGCCTATCTATAAGGTCCTTTTGTGGATAGCTGACTTATTTTTATAAGATAATAGTGGGTACTCAGTAAAAGTTCCCTCTTTTTCATCTCCCAGCTCTGAATTCTAAACTTAGTGCCTCCGGTGACTGGTAACTAATTTTAACTTTTGGGGCATCTATTTTGTAATCTCTAATGGCAGAGGACAATTCACATGATCCTGAGCATCCTGTAAATGGTTTGAATGTTGACCAGGAAAGAGAGTTTTCCTTTAGGTCTTGGACTCAGGCATTAGCTCTTTCCCTTGTCTGCCCTCCAGGGCCCCATCTTCAAATTTGCAGGCCACCTAACACATGTGTCAAGTGAAGCAAAATGAAAACTTTGGAGTCCCAGTGCCATCCTTAACTTAACTAATGAGTATGGATCCTGGGGCTAAATTGTCTTCTGAAAAAGTAGAGAAAGGACTCCCCATGGAAACATTTTCAGCATCAAGAGGGCTTATCCATTCATTCATCCATCCATCTATCCAGAAAATAATTGTTTAGTTCCTAGCATATGTGAGGAATACTTATAGGCCCTGTAGTAGATACAAAGATAGATTAGACACATCCTGCCCTCAAGAGCTTACATTCTTGCAGAAGAGAAGATAACTTATCTTCATAAATAACTATGAGACAGATCAGCATGTGATAAGCATGGAAGGCAAGGTTCAAAGTGTTGTGGAATTCAGAGGAAGGGAAACCCCTTCTGGCTGGAAGGATCAGGGAGCCTTTGAGTAAATCTTGAAGGTAGGGCAGAATTTGAACATTTGGAGATGAGGGAAAGGTCAAACATGGGAAAGCAGAAGAGACCCCTGGGGAAATGGTAGCTAATAGTCTAGCTAGAACACAGCTGCCAAAAGGGAGTTGACGGAAACAGTTTTAGAAATGTCACCTGAGAACAGATTGTGAAGAGCCTGAATTCTAGGCAAAGACACTTACGATGAGGGCAGAGACAGGTCATCAAAGGTTTCTGAGCATTGGAGCGGCATGTGCCCTGGGAAGGTTAGCTGGGAAGCTGTGTTCAGCACCTGTCGAAGGCAGCAGGAGATGGAGATGAGGAGGCCAATTAGAAGACCTGCAGCAACCTAGGTAAACTTTAATGTGGGACTAAACTAGGATAGAAGCTATAGGAGTGTAAGGAATGTTGGAGAGAATCATTCAACATGTATTTATTATATATCTACTTGATTCTCCATCTGTCAGTCACTGCAGGGGATGAAAACTCATAAGAAACATAACTCTTGCCTCCTAGGTGCTTGGATATGACTTGAGGGATGAATCAGTCAAGGAAACTTTGTCCTTTAAACTCTTCCCTTTTATGGCCACAAGGCATAAGCATAAGCTGGTTTACTCCCCCCACTGACTCTGCACCCCATCAACAGCATCGTACCTCCACCCCAACAACAACAAAGATAAGAGAGGGTATAAAGTTTTAAATTAAGATGTGATCTGTTGTCCATTTTATTTATAACCATTGTATAGTGCTTACTATATGCCGTATACTATTCTAAGAGGTTTATAAATACTATATCATTTTATCCTCCTAACAATCCTATGAGCTAGATACTATTATCAATCCCATTTTATAAATGAGGACACTGAGGCACAGAGAGATCAAATAATTTTCCCAAAGTCGTACAGTGAGTAAACAGCAGATTTAGGATTTAGGACACAAGGAGTCTGGCTCCAGAATCCTTACACTTAACCATTACATTATACTGCCTCCCTGCATCACTGCTTTCCCTCTGCCCACCTGCAATAAATCACAGCCAAAAAGGAATTACTCTTGGACCTTACCCATCCCCACTGAATCAGTTCTCTCTTCTTGGCTTGTGATGCTGTTCAAGTTACAGTCATAGCTAGAATCAGCTCACTGATCTCTGATGCAGTCATAGTTACAGTCAATGCTGAATCCACTGCCCTGATGGGTCACTGGCCAAGAGGATGGGTGGGGAAAATCAATGAATTGGTGAGAGACAGCGGTCTTATGAAAGGTGGTCCTGAACCTACAGGATCTTTCACTCTCTCTTCAGAGCCATCAAGTTAAGAGGTAGATATAATGGCAGTGCTTAGAGCATGGGCTCTGACATTTACTACCCATGGGCCCTTGGACAAGTTATTTAGCTTCTCTAAGAATGAGTTTCCCCATTCATAAAATGGGTGTATTACATAGGAGTTCCCTCATAAACTTGTGATCAAGAGTAAATGAGACACTTGAGTCAAGTGCTAAGCACAGTGCTTGATGTACAGCAAGTGCTCAGAAAATGTTAGCTGTTGTCATCTCACCCAGTTAAGAACAAACTCTTCACCTGATCCGTGGTGCCAGACTCAGAAGTACTCAGAAGCCCCAGGGTGGCTCTTTAGGCCCTTATTCAAGAAAAGAGCTAAAATACCCTGATAGCCATTTGGAATGGAGGAACAAGCAGTTTGGGGCCCCGCCACACAGAGGTGTATATTGTTGTTATTCTTATCATTGCATTGTGCCTTGTGTTGCAAGGCAGTATCAAATCATGGTTAAACCACTAGACTGGAACCAGACAGCCTGGATTTAAATCTCAGCTCTGCAAGTTACTAGCTTTGTGACCCTGGGCATGTTCACATCCTTGAGCCTCAGTTTCATTGTCTGTCAAATGAGATGATGATGAGATCCTCCTCAGGATTGTTGGAGGATAAAGTGAGTTAACATATGCAAAGTCTTTATAACAGACCTTGGCACGTTATAGGTACTCAATAAGGATTAGGCATTATTTTTGCATTCCTTTGGATTAAACTAGTAAATGCCTTTTCTTCTAGAAAAGAAGGCTAGGGCAGATTTTTCTTCTTTAGTGGAGAGAGATAACCCACAAAATCCAGGAAAGGAGAGAAACCAGACCTTGAGGGTGGGAGTTTTTCCCCATCCCACAACTGGGAGGTTGGGGAGGAACTCATGCCTTCCAAGACTGTGTGTCCAAGTATAACCCTGGCACAAAGACCACGATTGACCCAAGGCAGCCACGTTGTGATTGGGACTCCCCTGGAAGGCTAGGGTAAAGAGGATGTGACCCCTTTATCTGAGACAACAGGGAGGCTTTGAGCTACCGGCATTCCCTTCACCTTCACACTGAGATTGGAAGGCTCCTTACATAAGCCTCTCAACTTAGGCCAATATGGCCTTCCTTTGCCCCCTCAAAGACCCTCATACAGGACATAAGGCAGGAGATGAGGCACACTTGAAAAGACCACTGAAAATCCATGGCAGTATATGCTACGTGACAACGAGGGACTGCGGGATCAGGAAACCTGGGTTCTATTCCACCTCTGCCACTAACTAGCTGGTAAGCCTTAGGTGAGTCACTACACCTTGCTGAGCATCAATTTCCTTATCTCTAAAATACTCTCATCCCAACCCTCAATGCACTGGATGATCTCTAAGTAACATCCTCCCAGCTCTGTGACCCTATAAGATTTCAGACAATAATTCCATTAGGAGTTCCAAGGAGGGACAGATCAGTGGGGATTCAAGTGGTCAGAGAGGGTTTCATGAAGACGTGAACCTGGGAGGGTTTATGTAGGCAGAAGGGAGGAAGTTCTGTTCTTGCTCCCATTGCCTTTAAACCCTGTCCTGATAGGTGGCAACCTTTCTGGGTCCATTCATCAGGCCGGAAGAATTTCTCTCCAGGGATTCCCAGGCCTTCTCACTCCAAGATGTCATACAGCCACACTAAGGGAACTAGCAAAGCCTCAAGCCGAGGTATAAGCTGACTGAAATGTCACCTGCCTCGAGGCCACCTGGGACAGTCTCCCTCCTAGTCAGAGGGATTGCTCTCCATTTGTTTCTCATCAGCTAAGCACTGCCCAGGTCAGTGAGAACAAATGTCCTCTAGACTGGAGAGATTGTTTTGAAACAAACCTGAGGCTCCTGACCAGGGTGGGATCCCATTGTTCTCTCTGAAGGATGATGCTCATTCATGAGGAGGGTTGTGGGTGGACTGTATTCACTGGACTGGACATCCCCCCTTCTTATCATCCTTCCCATGAAGACCCACCAAGAAAGCTGTCCTGCACACCAGCTTAGAAAGAAACCTATCCCTTTACAGCCCACCCCCTAAAATGGTTCAAACTGTCAAGCACTGCTGGCCTCCCTGCCAAATCCAATTTAATGATACAAGAGACCCTGGCTCTCTTTTTAAGCTAATTAGATGTCTAAGAAAGGTTAACAGAAAAGGAGAGATATCAGACCCTGACAAAATGGTACTTGTGAGAGCATCATGGGACGGTGATGGGAATTAAACTTTGTGCTGTGTGCCTTTCCTTTGACCTCAATTTTTTATTCCCAGCTCTTTTTTAGGGCCCTTTTCTGCCTCCTTGAAAAGCTGTACAGTGAGGTTATCCTTCATAACAGTGGCCATCTGCCTATTGCCTGTTAGGAAGGTGACATATTTCCCTTTTCTCCTAAAGGTCAAGGTAATTTACTCCCATGTGGGAGAGTCCAGTGTGCTTGTCATGAGTGACAGCTGGGCTCTGATGGATGTCAAGTGGTTGCAAGAGCTCCAAGGCAGGAACCTGCCTCTTCTAGGGAAGCAGCCAGGGGGCTTGTGCTTTAGGCTGAGAGATTGAGTCCAAGTGCAAGTTCAGAGGTCCATGGTGATAACTGCCCCTCCATAAACCCTCCTGGTGATGAGTTTACTGTAATCCCATCCTTCCAGTCCTGAGTTCGTTTGTTAACCTCAGAGTCACTTGGGAGTAACCCAGCCTCATTAACCACAGTTCTCTCAGTCTCCGGACCCTGCAGCTGCCCTCAGCTTTTTCTGGCTGGTAACATGGAGGGTAATCACTTCAGATATCACATACAGAGGATTTTTCAGCATCTTTGCTTCCATTGCCACCAGAATAGACTGCAGTACGGCACAGAGGTCTCCTTCTGGGTCATTTATTTTTTTAAATTACACTTCAGAGTTCCGATCTTAGTTCCTCCCATGCCGCGTTATTTTCTAAGAATGACCGGTGATTAATGCTGACAAAACATTGTACTACAGCAAATGAGTAATGATGCCCTCTTTCTAGGATGAAAAGACTTGCTCCTCAGTTCTTTTTTTTCTGACCACTCTCTTTAAGAAAAAAGCCCACAGTCACAGAATGACACAGCTGGAAGGAACCTTAGAAATAATTCAGTGCAGCCCCTTATTTTCTAGATAAGGGAATGAGGTTCCGAGTGGTAAAGTGACTTGGACACTCAGAAAATATGGCCTTAGAAACGTGGTTCACAGTGACCCTGGTTCTCCTCCTCCGTGGCCCTGGGAAGAGTTAGATGCTCTTCATGTTCCTATTTTTGGGGTCTGACTCTGTCATCTTGGAAAAACATACACAAAACAGAGATAATGTGAAGAAAAGAGTAATATTTCCACTTCAGAGTCTCATGATAAGAAACTCCTCCTCTGTTCCCCCAAAGGCTCCACAAACTCTCCACCTCTAGTTCCTTAGGCTTTCTGGATGTCCATTTGAGCACGTGCTGTTTGCTGGCTGTACCAGGCATATCAATGTTGCTTCTCTGCCCACACTGATTGAGACCCTGGGTGCAGCTGATCAGAGCAGAGAAACACCTGACTCTAGGCAGCCCCATTCACACACTGATTGTCTGCCAACGACATGGCCTGGTTCCAAACATTGAAATTGTGGTTAGTCGGCAATAGGTGCTGGACCTGGAAGGCTGCACAAATCCCGGTACTAGGGTGGCCATGTTGGGCCTTGTGCAGAAACAGTAAGCAGAAAAGGCTAGTTTTTGAAAAGAAGCAGAAGGATGGAATCAATACAGAGACACATGGGCACAAGCAACCATGCTCCCCAGAGAGAGGGAAAGAGGGCCTCAGCTCTTAGTGATCTCTAGTATCGTGAGGCTCTGCTTTACTCCATTTCCTTCCCTTGGCTGGCATGAATTTTCTATCATGAATGAATCTCCTATCCCCTGTCCTTTATTTGTATTGACTTTAGTCCCTTCCAACCACAACACCTCTAATCAGAACATTATCTTGTACCATCTATGTGTGTAAGTGTTGTTCCTGAAACCAGAAACGAGCTCTCAAAGGCCCAAGGTTTATGTCTTAGCCTTTTGAAAAATCTGTCCAAGTAACTTGTACATATGACAGTTGTTGAAAGGTTTGACTGAAAGGCTTTCTGGAAATCCAGTTCTGTAAATCCTTTTAAACATGTACATCAATTGGCCCCAAAGAAGCCTTCTTGAGCTTTCCAACATAAAGCTGCTTAGTATTAACTGCCATTATAATTTTAAGAGAAATGAATTTCACTGTGCCTTATGTAGTTCTGATTTCCCCAGGCCTCGTCAGCTGGCAGGATGAGATGGGATTACAGGGATTGTAGTAACACAGAAGTCATTGGCTGATGTAGTGCCTCAGCTCCTGAAAGTGCCTTTCTACTATTTTTGTGGGTAGAGAGGGGATGTCTCGCTTGGGTGCATGGAGAAATTTGCTCCTCCAGGGACCACTAATGGTCCACCATCTCCCACTGGTCTACCTTCAACCCATCCTTCTATTAGTTTCTTATCTCCCCATCCAGTCCTTCTTTCGTGCTGCCACCAGAGCTATTTTCCATGTGCAAATATTATCACATGGTTCTCCTGCTTAACATCCATCAGTGGCTTATACTATTATATGCACTATTATAATATGCACTAATATAATAACAACTATTATGGTTGTCTGTTCCTCAGCCATTCCCAGTACTGTTCTTCCTTGCTGGCAGAGCTGACCTCCTGTGAAAGATGCTAAAAGTGCCAAACATTCACCCTCCCAGATTCCCCTGCAGCTAGGGCATTGGGGTCTTACCCAGTTCTGACCAACTGGACTTGAGGGGAAGATTTCTGAGGGTTTCTGGTGTAGGGGAGCAGAATTTGCCACCTTAAAACGTGTCTCTTTGGCTTGATTATTTTTAAGAACAAAAGACTCAGGAAGAAACTTTGACTTTCCTCCTAACTGCCTAAAAGAATTTAAGATAGAAGGCCTGTACCGAGAAGGAACTATCACCATAAATAACCATAGTGTCATATGAACTAGATGTGCTAGGGAGGAACCTAGCAAGGCCCATTTGATCAAAGCCCTCTCTATGTCCCATTGTCTCTACAAGGTGTGGCAAACATTTGTTTACCTAACATTTGCATTTCCATCTCCATGTGAATTGCCTTCTTCCCGTTTGAAGTCCCTAACCGCTATCTTCAATATCCTCTTTTGTCTTTAGCTGAAGATGGTATTTAAGGTGGTAGCTTTGGCCATTTTGGTGAGTTACTCAGTTTTCCTGGGTTTTCCCAGGTATACATGTTATTAAACTTAGTTTGTTGTTCTTCTGTTATTCTGTCTCACATCAATTTCATTCTTAGACCAACCACAAGAACCTAGAGGGCAGAGGAAATTTCTTTCTCCCCTACACTGGGAAACATGTTCCTCCTTAATATAAAAGAGAAGAGTGAGAGAAGTTCCCTTTTTCTTGCTTTGGGATTTTGTGTGTTGAAGCCATGATGCTTGGACCTGGCCTCCCATATTGTGGTAGTGGAGGGAAGCTGATCCAGAGCCCTGCATTGATGAGTTCCTAAAGCTTTCTAATTATTATATGACAATGTTAAATAACCTTATAATTTAAGTCACTTTTAGATGGGCCTTCTTTTGTTACTTACAGGCAAAAGCAACCTAAGATCTTGTCCACAGATCTCTACAGGAGAAAATCCAAACTCCTTAGCATGGGTACCTAGGCCTTCACAGGTTTGCCCTGTATCCCGCTTCAGCATCATTTTGTTTACCAAACCCATCCTGCATTCCCATTCCCCAGCCACACCCAACTTTTTGCCAAATGGGCCAAACTTTTATAAACCTCAGCCTAGAATGTCCTTTCCTGGGCCGGCCCTGTGGCTTGGTGGTTAAGTGCGCGCGCTGCGATGCTGGTGGCCCGGGTTCGGATCCCGGGTGCGCATCGAGGCACCACTTCTCCGTTCATCCTGAGGCCGAGTCCCACATACAGCAACTAGAAGGATGTGCAGCTACGACACACAACTATCCACTGGGGCTTTGGGGGGAAAAATAAAATAAATAAAATCTTTAAAAAAAAAAAAAAAAAAAAAAGAATGTCCTTTCCTGCCCTGGTTAACACTTACTCGTATTACAAAACCCAACCGAAGCTTTTCTTGGCCCTTCACACTTTTTTTGGAGTGTTTGTCCCCCGCTTTGTGGCCCTCTGTACCTGTAAATACTTTCATAGTAGTACCTGTAACATCTCTTTTTCTTTGGCTATTTATGTGTCTGACACTCCTTCCAGCTATAAGTTCTTTTGGGGCAAGGCCGTTTTTTTTCAGCTTTATATGTCCAGTGCAGATGCTCAGTAAATGTTTCTTTTTTAATTAATAAATTAAAAAAATTGAATGAATGACTAAATGAATTAGTTGATCCCAATTCTCAACTTTCTCATATTAACTGAAGCTTTGCAGGGTTTTGTTTTTTGTTTATGTGACTCTGTTGGCCAGTTTTAGACTAGTGC